ATTATAATAAATTATAATAAGTTATAGTAAGTTATAATAAGTTATAATAAGTTATAATAAGTTATAATAAGTTATAGCAAGTTGCAGTAAGTTACGATAAGTTATGATAAGTTATGACTTGTGATAAGTTATAGCAAGTTATAATTTTTATTAAATTTTATAATAAGTTGTAATATATAGTTGCAATATAAATGTTATAATATAGTAATTGTGGCTACCATCTTTAATTAGTATAGACTTGAAATATTTTATAAGTTATTAAATTATATAATAAAGAAATTAAAAAATAAAAAAAAGATATCTATATTAATCTAAAGCAAATAAATAAGTAATTAAAATGAAAAAAATTTATTATTAGAATTATTATATAAAGAAAATTAAAATTATTTAATAATTTTTAAGATACAAATATTATAATTATCTAAAAATATCTATAAATAGATAAATATTATATAATATTTATATTAATTATTACTTATTTTATATCTTTGAAGAATACTATTATCATTATATAATTGAAAATGCAAATTATTTAGAACTCTTTATCTTATTTAATCAGTTAAAAATCAAGTTATCTGATTTTTTTTAATTATTAAAAAGTTTTAAAAGCAAATTAAATTTTATCTTTCATATTAAACTAGAAAAGTATATTTGAATCATCAATTCAATACTAATTTATTAGAGTTAAATAAAGATAATATAATAATAATTATAGATTATAAGATAAAAATCTTATCTTGAAAAATAAAAGAAGACTTTTATAGAAAGTATAAATAGATATTATACATAATTTTAGTTTTTAGAAAGAAGAATGATGATTAAAACTTGATATTTATATATATAATCATTGATCAACTGACACTTATCAGAATGCTTGATTTATTATCTTCTCATTAGATATGATTTTTAATTTATTAGACTGAAGTATATTATTGTAATATCTAATAATAGATTCTACTATCACAATACTGAAATAATACTAGTAATATCATACTGAAAAGAATACTTTCTTATAAAAATATTCAGAATTTTTTATTTTAATTTTTAATTCAATTATTATATATAGTTTTAATATCTCATGGATCATTCATTATTATGAATATATGTCTCAACTCTTTTAAATATGCTTTCAATCAAATTAATGTACACATTTGATGGAATTTATTTCATTTTTCAAAACTTTTTTGAAGCATAGGATGATTTTTAGACTCTAACAGTTTCCATCTTTTCGTAATTCGATTATTTACTCGTATAGAAATTCTGAAAATTCGGTATTTTTATCATAACAATCGATAAAAATTAATTATCAAATTGATTTTATTCATTTATAATAGTTTGATTAAATGCAATCACTATATAGAATAAATTTCATATTTATTCTTAAGATTATTAAACATAACATAAGGATAAAATAACTTTATTTATAAGACTCATTTGCAATTATTACATACAATATACTTGATCTGTATAGCCATTGCCTCAGTTGCAAGAAAGGCTATGAAACCACACACAACCTCTGATTCACCAAGAGTTTCTAATGCAAATGGAGCTGCTACCAAAGCACAAGAAATAGTAATATCAGAAACAGATACACCAAACGGAACTGATACAAGTATCAGATTAATAACAAAACATAGGAATCTTGAATAAAATTTGCGTAGAAGAATCACCACAAGGGGATGAAGATTTTGTGGTTGCTGTGGTTTTGTTGGTAGTTTTTTGTGTTAGCATTGAACAAAGTTGGACAAGTTAATTTTCCACATTTCGCGCAGGTTGTGCATTCTCCATCGTTAGGATTGCATTCATATACAATAAGTAGAATTACATCCTGAAACGAAACAAAAATGTTAAAGATGGTAAAAAAATCATGATATACAACTCGAATCCCTATAATTAAAACAGAAATTTTGTTCCAGGAAACTATGCTCAAGAAAACAGATTGATACCTCAATAGTTGGATTTTTTCATGATGAGGCTGGTGCATAGCACATGGTAGTAAGATTATCGAATAATTTGACCAAGTCCTTTCTTAAAAACAATGCAAAGTAATAATATAATATAATATAATATAATATAAATATACAAATCCGGTCTTTAAATCCAAATAAAATGAATAATTTAATAATTCTCTAATTGCAGTGTATAAATTTAATTGTAATATATTAAAGAAATGAGTTTAAAAATAAATTTTAACATAACGAATGTAAATCAAAATAAAAAATAAATTTATCTCTGCACCACTTGAAATAATTCATAATCCATGATATAAAAATATTTTTCTTTCAGCAGACCATGTTCGAAGGAGTATTTCAGACAGTGATGAGAAAAATTATTAAGATCGGGACCATCCATAAATCAATCGTATTCTCCGAAAATCGGACCATAATCAGTATAACATCCCACACTCCGCCCTCGATTATTGTATTTGCTTAAAATTCCATTGAGAGCTTGAAAATGTCATCCGAATTAAATTTAAATAAAAAGCTATTTGAAGTTGAGTAATCTTTGCCAGTTGAATTCCATTATAACCACCAAGAATCTCTTTACCACCATCTTTTTTGCGAATGGCAACAATTGTTGGACCTTTATTATCACACGATGAAAGTCAGCATTTTTAAATCCATCGCGACTGCCTCGTAATAACATTTTCAAGTCAATTGATTTATTTTTCTGATCATCATCTCGCTTTTTAATCCAGTCAATTATCTTAGAGGCCTATTCTGCGAACTGGGTGCAAAGTGGCTTTGTGTTCTTCACTTCCTGGCACAGATAATGATGTAATAAATCCTTATACAATGTTCCTGGTAAAATTTCAGCATAAGGCAGAACCTTATTATAAAAATCAACCGAGTTGATGTGGAAGAAACGAATCAAAGGTAAACAATCTTCAAGCGTAGATTTGAGTTGGTTAAATTCGTTATGTGTTCATTTTTCCAATGGAATTGTTAAATCAATTTCGCCTATATCATCAGCTTGAGAGATTCCCCGTTCAAGCACCTTTTCCTAAAGGTCGATTTCACGCAAGTTCAGGCCGTCACGTTTGAGTAAACAAATTAAAGCCGATACATGTAGTTTGGTAAAATCAGTTGACTGAAGGATAGCAGCTGGATTTTGACATGTGATATCTGTGCAGAATTTGTGAAGTTTAGTAAAAGAATTATTTTTGAATGCAATTTGATTGATTAAGGCTAAAATTTCTGTCAAAGACTCAGAATGGTGTTTGAGAAGATATATTCAATTAGGTCTTCGAGAATTAACTCGTCGGCCGCGACTAATACATCCAAAAGCGTCGAAACTCCATGATTTTGTAAATCGATTTTTTCACTGTAGATATATCTATTAAAATTCAATGAGGTAAATTCTCATTAATCTACTATTAACGATAGTACTTCATTTTTAAGATGAAATTACCTTAGTAATATTTCTAAAACTAGGGTTCGATATTCGGTTTCTTAAAGGCAATCATTTTATTCGTTCTCGTTTTACCCATGCATTAGAAAGTGCTACGGCAAAGTATTGCGACTGCGCCACCAATATTGCCGGATGAACCGAAAAGGTACGTTGAGTATTCAGGTTTTCACCAACAATAATCGGCATTATTATCGAGTCTGTTTAAATGTGAAGTCAAGAGCACGGGTGTCATGATTTGTATTTGGTTAAATTCTAATTCTTAATCGTGAACATGTACCCGGTACATATTTATGAATTTTTTCGTTACACATTGTTCTTGCGATTTGGTTGGTTTACCACTTAAAAATAATCATGTGGACCGGGTTATGCACAATGATCAAAAGACGGGATAAGTTTTATTTTTTTAAATAAATAAATATAAAAACATTAAATCCCGATCCATTGATCGCTACTTCTTGTTGGTAGACATTAAATCTCGATCCATTGGTCGCTGCGTGTTGTTGGTGGCAGAGTTTAAATCCAGATTCATTGGTCGCTGCGTGTTGCTGGTGGTAGACATTATTATTGATCGCTACTTCTTGTTGGTAGACATAAAATCCCGATCCATTGATGGCTGGCTGCTTGTTGTGGTTGGACTTTTTCCATTGGTGATTCAGGTGAAGCTTCAACAGTTTGTTTACCAGCAGTTTCTCCATCAGCCGCATTTGAAGGCGTTGTAACCGTCACTATTGCAGTTGAAGTGGTTGGCGGTTGTTTTGATTTCTTAATAGGTGGTGTTATCGAAGGAGAAATAGTGGTAGAAGCATGATAAGAATAATTTGTGGTTCTTCCATTTTATATGTTGATAAAGATGACGATCTACCAATGCTATTCTCATCTGAATAAATGTTGCACTACTACTACATAATGTTCTCTTTCTTTTGGTAGTCATCTCCTTCTCCCCCTGTTTATCTGATATTGATGCTAAGTGATTTAAGTTCTTAGATTTGTAGATCGCTCAGACTCAGTAATAATTGAATTGTCTTCATCTTTAAAAGTTTCAATTTTATCACGAGACCTCTTTTCTTGAGCTTGAGCAACCTTGTCTTTCTTATGAGGTATTGCAGGCATAACATCCGGAACCGTATCAGGAACTTCCGAAGTAGAAGGCGAAGGTTGAAGAATTTTTTATGGTATTGATCTCTGTGTAATAACGAATCATGGTAATGGAATCATCCTTTGGAGGTTTGAGAACTCTATGCTTTACTGTAAGTAGACTCTGGCTTATAAATTTCGCTGTTGGTTCCGTGCTTTTTTAGGTAGTAATTTTTTGTACCCGGATTTGCTATTGTCCTACTTGACCCATCAGCCATTACTTCAGAATATCTTGGTGATGACGAATCAATTTTTTCTTTACCCTTTTTCTTTCTTCTCCATTTCCGTATCCTCAATTTCCTCATTCATATTAGTAATACATCTTCCTGATTCATCAGATATTACTTTAGAATACTTTGATGATGGCCTTTTCCGCATTTCCTCCATGTTATTATTATTATTAGTAGTAGTAGTAGTCGAGACTTGTGAGGTGCTATCCGTTGATGTTTGTGTCCACACCCATAGAATCTGTATCGTAGTGATTGGTTGTCTTGGAACACCAAACATGCGATATAAATTGCTTCGTTACCCACCCTTAATATTTTACATTAGTTTTTACTGTTATTATTGTTACTTTGATAATGCTGAAGAACGTGCCGAATAGGTCCTATGTCACCGCCGCCTAAGTTACTACCTGTTCCCAGGGTATTCGATCTCTTATTATTATCATTTACGACGGGCTTGTAAGCTTGACTAACACCGTCAAACATCGCTTCTTGAAAATAGGCATCAGCTTGAAGCGAAGACCCTTGACGGCCGGTTCCTGGAATGTTGTTTTCGTTGTTGGAAATTGAGTTTTTTGGTAAAGACATTTAATCATTCGTTATTGATGCGATTTGTTATATACATGTATAGTATACGTATACCATCATCATCACGGGCGCACAAGACACTCACATTTTATTGGCTGATTACACAATTAGAAATGGATCATGATGATTAGCTTTTTTCATTTTTTAAATCGAACAGAAATATCTGCAACGTTAATGTATGATTTTCTATTTAATATCTCTGAACTCATACAAGGATCGAAATCGGCAATATAAGTTTTGATTATTAGAATATTCTCAGAATGAATTTAGATGTACAAAACTTTTCTTCGTGAATTATTGATCATATCTTATAAATTTTCTAATTTTTCTTATCAATTTTTTATAGTTGGAATGAACAAACGGGATATCCTTTATTCACGTGATTATGGCATACAACACCCCCAAGCACTATGCACACTTGTATTAAATTTATCAATCGGATCCTCGGATCTTAATCAAGCTACACCATAGTAGAATTAACGGAACTCAAATGGTTTTTGCCATGAATCATGACAATATGAAGGATTGGGATTAGTCAAGGGTAACTGTGTATATATCGTCTATGAAAAAGATCTTGCTAATGGTGGAGGGACTTTATTCGATGGAAGGGACAATTTGTAATCTCCTAAAAATAATTGAACTAGGATGATATCTCTTATTGTCATAAATAGTTCATTTAAGTATTCCGTTTATTTTTATTGAAGTGGTTTGCTGAAGTAAACAATCACCGTTATTCTGTTTGGTCTAAAGCGAGATTCTTGTGAGGATCCAGTGGCAATCGAGAAAATGAAGGAACGCAATGAGAAATTTGTTGATGTGCGGGAGGTATTAAATTATATCATTTTTATTATGATCTTATATAAATATTCGCATCCTGTAAACTCATAATAATTAAGCATCGCTACTCTCATCAACACTTTGTGCTAGAACATACATTGAACGCTCATCATAAGTGGGCGTTAATGTACGAAAAGTATTCGAAGAAGCTATTCGTGGCATCGTAGAAGAATACGTTAATTGCATAAGTGGAAAACGAGGGTCGTCATTGTACACACCCCCACAATATATTACCGGAAATTTCAAAAATGAAACTATCATTTTGGAACCCAATTTCTTGTAATCTAGTGATCTCATTTAAATAAAGATATTATCATAAGATTCGTGGAGTCGCGACAAATTTAATGGAGTATTTTCATTTAAATTGGATCATTGAATTTTGAGATATTGGATTTCAAAGTGGCAGATTCGTTTTTAGGATTTCCAGTAATATATTGTAGGGGTGTGTATGGGGGAGTTGTTTGTTTTTTCGGATGGACAACAATAACAGAGGGACACGATGGAGGACAGGATCGAACAATCATAATAATAATAATAATAATCGAGGTAGAAAATAAGCAAGAATTAATAGGACGCGACGGTGAACTTGTGTGATACTGTAACAACAGCAACAATAATAACCATGTAATAGTATATATAACATTAGCAATAATAGTAGGAAAATATTAATAGGAACAAAAATAAGCGAAGGCGAAAAAACACTGTAAAAAACCAAGGTGTATACTTATCACTAATGGGTAGCAATCACATTTTTTGTTCTATTTAGATTGCTAGCATCTTTACGTTGTTTAAATATATAAATGTTAATCTATCATTTATTTATATAGAAAATGCCGTTTCGAAATTTCTTAAGATATTAATGTTAAAAACAAAAGACAAGATTCGCATTCGCTTTCATATAACAATTAATAAATTACTATATTATATTATAGAAATGATTGATTGGTTTCTATTTATTTGATAACAATATCGATATACATATATATTTTTGCCATCAGTATGAGAATTTATAGGATTTGTTCAATTTGTTCAGAGTAA